CACAAACGGTGAGACGACGACGGTGGTTGTGACGCGGAAGACGGCGGTAACGGCGGGACCACGCCGGGCGGTTGGTCTGCTCCCAACAAGCACGCTGCGCAGGCGCGTACGCCAATCACGTGGACACCGCTGAGCGCCGAAAGGCAACGTTGCTGACGTCATGCGCTACGCTCGATCGGAGAAGTAAAAACAAGCAAAAGGGGGCCATGATGATGACGTTTAGCTCAATGTTGGCTCCGCCCATGCCGTAGCCTTGACTGCGCTGTTGGTTGCGCCTGAATTCGCCCGCTCGAGTCAGCCGATTTCGGCAACTTGGCGAGTTGCAAAGATTGCCGGACCGTTTAAGAAACATTTAGACAGAACTGCGTAGTAATATTTGACGTGTGGTCTTCCTAGGCAATACTGAAGAGGACTGCATTGTTTTTTCAAAACCTAAAATGAAGCGGAGTTGCCCTTTAACCTATCGCGCTACGACTTTGTGCTCCGTTGCCCACAGATGGTGCACTTTTTTTGTAAAATTTGCAAAGAGCGAACTTATCTGAGGAAAAAGTAAAGAAAGAAAAAGGCTTAGCTCCTGTGCAAACGCAGCGACGCCACTGGTCTTCAAACAAGACGACGCCGTTTCACTGGCCTTCAACACTGGCCTTCAACAACACGGCGCGCTGGTGGCAAGCCGGCTGGTGGCTTGCCACCAGCCGGTTTCACAAATTTTGAGAAACTAAATCTGCGCGCTATTATTGGAGAATGGTCGATTAGACCATTCTTACACAGAATTCACTATTACGGTGAAATAATGGTGCCTAAATACTTAGAAAATATACCCAGACCGGAAGTCTGCCAGGGCTATCGAGTAAATGGCGGCACTGAGTTCGTTGCCAACCAAAAAGAAAAAAAGGCCAATACATAGCAACAGTGCTGGCGTTCATGCGTTACTGTGACGTAAACGCCTCGCGGCGCAGCGCCGCCCTGATCTGGTTGGTCCAGATTGATCCATACCTTTGCGCGCGGTGCGCCCAGCGCCTAACGACGAGCTGCGCAAAAGCAAACATGGCAACCGTTCGCTTGGTTTGTTCGGTTTGGGTTCAATGCTGTGTTCTGCTGTGTGCGGCTCAAACGTTCTCGCGGTAATGTTCTCGTCATCTGCGAAGTTATTCGTAGTCCCATGAGTGACGCGGAAGGTATTGTGAAATTACCATCTCATTTAGCAACAAGCTGGTCTTCACCAAAAATAACGACGGTGCCGAGAAGTGGCAGTACGGCGACGAGCGAGATTGGTTTGGTGGTTTGAGTTCAGGGAGGGAAATTTGTTTGCCGAATTGTTACTGCCACAGCCAGAGAAGGAGTTAACACGACGGGTGAAGAAACAATGCCGAGACGGTTCACTTTGTACCGGAGAGACGTTTGGTATTTATTTACTTCCTTGCATATTGTTTTTATGATGCTCGGCGATAACGCTTTGTCACTGCTTATTACATTGTTGTGGTAATAACACCTGATAATGATTTCATTCGGTGCGACTTTCTTGGCGTAAGATCAACAAAACATATCCGTGCACTCTTGAAAGAAACCTCCAAGTGTCTCATGAAAACTGGACGTGTCTTAGACAAGCAATTTGGACTAGCCTTCTCTCTTCAATCTGGGCAAGGGGGTTATAACTTATAAAGGAAAGAGGTGTCGTCCGTATTCTCCGTGCATAGAGTGAAGTGTAACGGAAGTAGGCGTGGCCACGAAATGTCTCATTCTCTCGGCTATTGAAACAATCTATTTCCTGAGCCTTTTTCCTTTTACAAAACCCCAGATCTTTTATCACAGTCTTGGTCATTTTCATCATGAGTAGGAAGCTCAGTTAACGGACGTCGTCATGAAAATATGGGGCAAACATCTGCGTTGCCATGGCATTGACGCAGGAACGCGGCTGTTCGCCCTACAATTTCATGACGGCGTCCACTGTTTCAAACAGGCGAGATTTGGAGTTCAACCCTTGCCTTACCAGTACAAAGTCGGTGTATAGCGGACGTTCTCGACACCGCGCCCTGAGCGTCGTCTGGAGTGAGTCGTCATAGGACGGCTTTGGTAAGCGAGCTTGTCGGTCGTCGTACGTACGAACGCTGAAAATGGCAACGCTGGTTGAGAATGCCATACAAGCCTTGCTTCCGCAAGGTGTTGGTTTTTCTTCGCCATGATGAGAATGCGGGTTCGCATCAAAGCTTATTTTAATGCGCCGTCCGTATCGAATGCCATGGCCGTGACAGCGAGCAGACGAAGCAGACCGCATGCATGGAGCAGACGTAGCCCAACGCAGTCGCCCGAGCAGCGAGCAGTCGGTCGGAGCTTGGTTGGATTTAGGTTGGATGATAGCGGGTCGGTGCGCAAGGCAGTATGGGATTGGGTTCTTTTTCCGGCGTCGGTGGGCGTGATGTTATGCTTACCGACATCGGCCAGAATCAAGGACACTAAAATAGTTCCGGCCCGGCATGACGTCATGCCGCGTCCTGAACTATTTAAGCGTCGTTGATTCTGCGCATCTATGTCGACGAGGTAGAGGGGCTTAGAGCGATAAACTGGTAACCCGAAAACCAGGCAAAAGCGACCCCCACTTGGCTGCAGCCATGTTGTACAATTTGATCACTAGACACGTGACCGTACCAAATCCTGATGCTTTTACTGAAAAGTGAAACGAGATTTGCATTCGATCGCTGTGAAAACATGAGGAACTATTTTTTTCAATACTGTCAGCCGGGGAGCTGTATTTTCGGTTTTTATCGGAACTAGGCACTAAACTCTGGTGCTAACAGTGTTAGCACCAGCGTTCAGTGCCTGGCTCCGATAAAAACACAAAATACAGCACCGCGTCTGACGGCATCTAGCAGAGGCGTTGTAAAGCTGCGCGAGAGTTTGTCGTAGAAGCACGTTTGGGACTTAAAACAAAGGAAACATAATTTATCCCGTCGATACTGTTGTCAAAGATCAATAAGCAATTATTCGTGCGCTGTACTTCGTTGAAATCTTGACGTAGAACTATAAGGTCATGTGACTAGAGATCAAAAATGTGCAACATGGCGGCGGCCGATTGGGGATGACTTCCAGCTGCCAGTTTATCGCTTTAAGGCCCTCTACCTCGTTGCTCTATGTCCAGTGCTTCGTAGCGGCGTTCAAGGGTCCATATACGTTCTGCGGTAAGTTTTCTTCAGAACTGACACGCCGTGCGCCTCCAGATGTCGCAGCGAAGTTGGCCAGGTTGCATTTGCATTTTTAAATTAATCTTTATAGAGTCTACATAAATAACAATAAAACAACGTTGATACTTTTTTTTAAATTTCCGCTTGTTTTGGGTAGAAAAGAAAAACAGACACTGCGTTGCTAGTGTTGTGAACATACCTTTTGCGGTAATGTTTTCTTCGACATTAATTCTCTAATAGTAATAGAAAGGTAACACAAAAACATGGGCGCTGGTTTTGCTTGTTTTAGCTTTATTCTAGATACTTTAATTCATGTTTTGGCCATAGATAGTGTGTTTTAGAGCGAAGTACTGCCAGACGCTCTACGTTCGGTGCCAATGGTCGCCCAGCTACTATTTGCATTGCCCTACCACTGATATCTATTAAAGTTGCTGGATCGCGCTTCCCCCCTCCGCGAGGGCAGCCACCGGACGGCCATCTTGCATGCAGCGAAATCACATTTCTCGAGAATTCCAGAGGCTGGCGGCAGTGAGCTGAAGACATGGTTTCTGATCGTTTGTCGCGATTCGCCGAAGAAGTTCTTAAACTTTGTGTAAAGGGAGAAATTTGCCTTTAAGAACACGTAAAGATGTCTACGGAAGCACTGCAGCACAGGAAAAAGGCACAAGTCGTCGAATGCAAGTTTGGCCGGTCTCGCGGAGTGATCGAAGCCTTGGCACGCCGAAGTGCTGCGTCTCTGTGCCTTCGTACGCTTGGATATCGATCAAGAATTGTCGCCGCGGCAAAGCTTGAAGGTGTGTCGCGATATATGTTTCTACAGCATATATCGGCTACGGAGTTCTGGATCGTCCAGCTGTTCCTGCGAGAATTTCTATGATTAAAGGAGAAAAGATATTCGTGGTGGCTATTATTCACAATTAACAATGGTTTTGTTCCAAATCTACTCGAATGGATCAGATGGCGGCACAAAAAGAGCAACGCTTGGAGCAAGGTGCGTTTTCGAACACAGAAGTATGGAACGTCGAGGTCAAACATTTCTTGAAACGCGACCCATATGGTCGTGTGCATTCTGTCGCTGTCGCCGCCGCCGTACCCCCCTCTCCTCTTCCGTCACCACTGGATCATACTCGTTCCTGGACCGCGTGTGCCTCAAGTTACAAATGCAGTCGCCATGGTAAAGTAAGTAAGCAAGGAAGCTTTGATCACGCCACGAGACAGGCGAAACATTCTTTCGATGAGTTGTGCCTTTTCCTGTGGCGCACGCGCTTTCGTAAAAAGCTGGATTGCAGCAACATACACTTCCAAGAGTTTCCGGAAAGGAAACCATCCGGATTTGTTAACAGTGTGTACAGCCTTTTTCGTGAAGAATCAAGCGCTTTTATACATTTTCGGATAGGCCCGCCAGGAGGATGACGCAGGTGTCGCCTGCGTTGTCGAAACCGATAGTTGCATTTTTACGCGCTCGGACGCGCGCGATTTTCAAGGTTCCGGTAGAGTGCTTTCACGAGTAAAAGAAGTTCAATGAAATGATGCGATGAAATGCCGTTCTTTGTAAGATAGTGGCGAAGAGAGCGAAAAAAAAAAGAGAAAATACCGGCAGTGCAGTTTGTTAGTAGCTATAGAAAACTATCTCACAAACCCCGTTCCGGAGGTTGAGGACGCTCTGACAAGTGAAGGGGCACTCTTAGAAACCGTCTGTTTTGCTCCCGTCATTAATAACTGAGGGCCCGCGCTGCTGCATTAATGTCGGGCAACACTGCCAGCATACTAAGGGGTTGTGAAGAATCAAGAGTGTGTTGAAAGAGGCTGTGTGATACTTACGTAAATCACGTTTGAATGATTATTTTTAGCGTCCTGGTATACTTCGAAACGAACAAATGGATGAAAAGTTGATTGGTTGAGTAGTTGAGTATAGTTTTCATAAGGTGATTCTTCTTTACTCAGTAGTGGCCACTTGGTAAAGCCATATTCCTTAAGTAGCTTCAGCAGGTTATTAAATTTCGCTGTTTCGTTGAAAGCTGTTTGATGCACAAAAATAATCAAATGTGGTGAGGTACATGTAAAATTTTGACAAAGATTCTTTTAAATGCAAGATCATTTCTATGGTCTCAAAAGCCCGAGATCGTGTACGGCCGTTCACCGTCGCCTCTAGTATATCAAAGTCTAGCTGGAAAATCTAAAATGGTGTGTAATTATACACCAATTTAATTTACACGCTTAATGTAGCTGGGAGCGTTTTCCAGATAAATATTGCGAGGAAACTAAAATTAGTTTTCTCCCACTGAGGTACTCCGATAGCACCGTACTAGGATTGCACGACAGCGCCGAGATATACGAATGTGGGAAAAGAAGCAAATGATCTCAACTGATATCGCATTACTGTTCGTTTGGCAGCGCCCAGAGAGAGTGCCCATATTCGTAAACCCGAGAGTGCACCAAATTGAAGAATTTGAAAGGTTAAAAGGCGCGAACAAACAGGACGAAAAAAGACACACGTACGACACGGACAGGTGCCAACTTCCAATCGATATGCACCAGCTAGCCCCAACGAGAGTGTTATTGAAAAATGTGCTCGGTGCGCAGGTGTACTATGCTGCATTAATTTCTCTAGAACTACGTGGAGATGACACGAGAAATGAGAGGGTTGGGGTACTAGAAGAAAGGCCGTGCTTTGTTTACTCATTCCATATGTGCGTTTGTGGCAGCTGGAGATACGTCCATGAACGATGGTGGGTGCGCAAGAAGCAACGTTGGCAAGATGTGAATGCCCGTGGCTCGGGTCTCGTTGAAGCAATCTTAAAGCACCCCGCGCCGTCATCTCCAATTCGTATTTTCGGAATGGCGTGCGAAGTAAGTCGACGGGCAAAAGCGAGGTGTGCGATTGGGCCATTTTAAACACACGTTACAGATTTGCTTCAGGCAAAGCACACAGGGATAAAAAGAGTTGTCGGCGCCTCCGTGGCGCATGCTATAACATGTTCGCCGAATCATTGGTGTACCATGGTGCGAGGAGTGCGTCGTCACGCATGACAGCTCGCATGATCTTTTTTTTGATTTCATACTTTTGCGTTCAGAATATCTTCAAATTTATTTTGAGGCTCGTGACATTACTTCCGTGACAAAGTTTTTGTGACATTCCGTGACAAAGTTTTCGTGGCATGAACTTTTGAACTTTGCACTTCCTTCAAAATGTATTTTACGTGTGGGACGTCACTCCCGTGACCGAGGTTTTGTGACATCGGCTTTTCAACTTCGCACTCCCTTCCAAAAATTTCTTGACGTACGTGGCGTCACTTTGACAAAGTTTCGGGGACATTCCATGACCAAGTGTTCTTGACATCGACTTCCTTACTTTGCAACCCCTTCCAAGCTCGAGCAAAGACGCAGTTCTGCGAGAAAAAAAATAAACAAACAACGCACACCTAGTCTAGTATTCCCTTTATCGGGCTTATTCTTTGGAGCCAGTTTACCATCTTGCATACGTATTTTTACTTTCAGGAAGAAGTCGTCGTTATATTTTGTGAAAATATAAATTTGCTTAATTAAAGTATATATTTATTGACAAAATCGGTTCAGGAACTGTCAGTGCATATTTTCTGCTTCCGTTTAACACTAAGGACTATATACGTTATTTACAAATATTCAAAAAGATTGATATAAAAACCTGTGCCATCGAGCTTTATATTAGAACAAAACAAAATGGAAAGTTTGGTTTGGTACACAAGACGTAGGCATATCAGCTCCGACTAAATTCTTTCAGTTGAAGCCTGTTTTTTTATGACGACCATCAGTGTAGTTAGGATAAATAACATCGCTGGATATGATTAAAAATAAAGAAAGATGTTTGGACTCCTGCAACGATAAAAGGTCAGTTTACACTAGGTTCTACCAGCTGCTGCATGTTTACAGTTTTCGCTTATTTTTCTATCGTTTTTTTAGCAAAGTCAAATAAAAATGACAAAAAACTGGAGATTTTTATTATTTAAAGCAGATTACTTTGATTTCAGAGTAGCTAAAAAATAGTGACTTTTTATCACTAAACGTATTTTGAAACATGGCAGACTGATTGATCAATTCGTCAGATTACTAACAATTCAGAATGAATAATTACTGTAAAGTTAAAGTAGAGGTTAATAAGAAACTTCATATTGATGTAAACGCCGCCATACTAGAACAATAAACAATTTGTCTTTTTTCGCCAACTGAAATCCTATATTTGCTTTTTTTTTAATTCGCGCTTGCTTGCAATGGGGCATTACTTTCCTATTTTCGTCTCCCTCTTTATGTCGTCTTCTGATTTGCTTTAAAAATGGTGTTTACGCTGCTGAGGAACGGAATGAAAGGTAGAAAGAATCCTCAGTGCTCCAATTTGCTCAGAAGATTATTGCTAACTGCTCGTGTTCAGCCTGATATGAATGATTCCTGCTCAATCGACTCTTTGATTTCAGTTCAAAACAGTGCACACAGAAAGCATCACATGAGAGATGAGCGGTAAGTCATACATATTTTCAGGACTATTTCTGCAGAAAAAGCTTGATTGAAATTGTCATCGTAAAACTGGTCTGATTTAACTCACGATTTAACGCATTTTGAATTTTATTTACCAAACTGCTCGTCAGAGCACAAACTACTCTTAAAAACCTAAGCATCAGGCGAAAGATCAAAAAGCATAGCTTTATATTCGCGGCTCCAGCCAACTGTAGGGGGTCGCACTGGTCAGACAAAGTGGCGGACGAAAGGAGGTCGTTTTCGTCGTTCAGGACGCGGACGACCATACATTTAATGCACTGCAGCGTAAAATGGGTGTTAAATATGAAAGCAAAGCGATTTTTCGGCGGTAAAATTTTTCTACCAGTCAGTGCGCAGAAAGGACACGGCGGAAGCATAAAAATAATTACTGGAAACAATGTTTGTTTCAACGCTGCCTATGAGAACCAAGCAGCAATAGCAGACGAGAGTCGAATCGACCTTCTCTCCTGAGATCCTCGGCGTTGCCGCTACGAGGTTTCGATTTCGCTGGAGTCGCCAATACCCTTTATAATATAAAAATATTACGGCACGAATATAATATTTTTTTTTATCTCTAGAATAAGGCGAATTTGTTGCTATATGGGAAAAGACAAAATGTAATAGGCCGTTTGTGCATATCCTGAAAGGGCAGGTTTTATATAAATCCGTTGATATGGACAATTCACTCGTTAGGAATTGGTTCACAAAGCGTGTGTATGTTACCAAGAAGTCATTTAAATGTACCGCAGTTAAAGCATTTTGCTAAATTCAGTGTGAGCGCCAATACTATGTGGGGGGTTTTGATGTGCGGAATACTTATTTCCGAAACTGTTAAGATATTCGACGATGAGTGTGGTAATTTGAATTCACAAACAAATCTATGCGACCATTATTCTAAAAACTATACGTTGTGAATACCAGCAGGGAGAACGCACAAGCTTACATTAAGACGTTAGGGTTTGCTTTAAATGCCCGTTGGTTTTTAATTGCTGCTGATATCACTCATAACGTAGCCTCTCTGAACACATGCACATTGGCATGAACTTGTCTGGGAAAGCAGACTCTTGCCGATTTGTAATTGCTCACCATCACTACGTAGCGCGAAATGGGAACAATCATTAAATATGCATTAGGATCTTAAGTCGCCGTACAAAATAAAGTGGTAAACGATTTCGGAAATGCGGTTTAATTTCTTTACATGTGTTTAGCCAAGTCGTAAACTTTCCGGTGTCTATTGAAAAAAAAAATATTGGTAATTTTTGGTGTGTATTAATTTTCAACTATGCGTCTATATTGACGATATCTTCCCAAAGGACGCAAAAAAGTGGTGAATCCCCGTGAAAAAATCACTAATTAAATACTAAGAGTTAAGTTCTAGGTGGGGAGGTTCTTCACAAAAGCAGTCTTGCCTAATGCAAAAGATGTCCAGAAATTGTTGTTTCTGAGTTTCTACAGATTTTGTATTTTTGACCCAAACGGGTGTTGAGAGCTGCTTTCGGTTTTAACGGGGAATGTAATCTTGACACCGATGGATGTTTATTGGTGTTTTTTTTTTTGTATATTAAAACTGGAAAGTCTATGGCCTAGTTATAGATAAGCATCCCAGTTACCGGGTTTATCTTTATTTTAATAGGAGTGTTTTATCTGAGGTTACCTTCCCACCAATTTAGTGGCGGACTAAAAAAAGTGGTTTATTGAGGTTATAATCTTGAAACGTCTAGGCACTGCTTTGGATTCCCAACTTCTAGAGGGAGGCAACCCTTTCTCACGAAAGTGCACGCCTGTGCACCCCGAAGGAGCTTTGGATTATTTCGTGAATCTGGCCCCTTCTCCGCCAATGAGGACTCGAAAAAATAGTCAGAGTGCAGGCGAGCTGGCGTAAGTTGAACATGATTGTAAACCTGAGACTGGGGCAGAAAGAGAACACAACAGAAGGTAGTAAAAGAGGAGGCAACGTCTCAAACTCAGCTGCAAAGTTTATTTCGAACACGTTTTATATACCTCATCTCCAACGCCGTCTCTACAAAAAAAAAAACAAAAAAAAAAACACACACACATGACAAAAGGACAATGACACTTCGGTAAACCTTCTCTTATCTCCCTTGACTTTGGCTGTGGGACACTCACACAAAGGGTCACATTCTAGCAAAACCACCGCCACCCGGCGAACGTAGGTGAAAACACTACTCGAGATAAGAGAAGATACCGAAACACTACACGAGATAAGAGAAGGTTTACCGAAGTGTCATTGTCCTCTTGTCATGTATGTTTTTTTGTTGTTTTTTTTGTAGAGACTGCGTTGGAGATGGGGTATATAAATCGTGTTCGAAATAAACTTTGCTGCTGAGTTTGAGACGTTGCCTCCTTTTTTACTACCTTCTGTTGTGTTCTCTTTCTGCCCCAGTCTCAGGTCTACAATCATGTTCAATGAGGACTCGGCGTTAAAAGGAAAGGGAATGCGATACTCTGGCTCCGCCATTTAGTTATTTTACCTTGAAGAAAAAACTTACGTACTCTCACAGACACAAACGCTGTAGGCCAGAATAGCCTTATCAGTAGCATTCTGCGGCTCCTCTTCCTCAAGTGTAGCGTTCAATAAAATATCTAGATATAATAAAAATATTCAAACTTAGTTCAATGTCAACTCTGTGTTGTGAAAAATTAATCTAACTTCATGCAAATTAACCTATAAGCACACTAAATTGTTGGGTAGTCTTATCTCATTTCAAATTTAGTTCCGGGCCACAAATCCTGGTTTATGGCATATATTTGCCAACATGTTTACCAGATAGCGTAGCCTATCGATAAGTAATTTTATTCTTCCCGTTAGACGTTTATATGTGTAAGCTCTCAATGTAAATACACATTTTCTCTATCTTGTTGCAGTTAACAGCCATTAGACTTTATTTATTAGGGTGTTATAACAAGCGATTACGGTAGCGGGTGTTTGTAAAATAATCTGAAAAAGGATCCCCCTCGAAGCAGCAACTGGCGAGGGATATTTTGTTTCCGCTAAGCATCTATGGCTGTTGACCGCTTAGTTAACAAAAACAAAGCGTCGCTTCTGGTGTTTACACTTCCTGTATTGGGATAATTTCTCAGGGTTTTTATCGCATGATGCCACACACACAATTGCTGTTGAGTCCTGACCAATAACGAGACACGCAGGACTTGTCACTACCTGCGTTTCTTAAAGTATCCATGATAGCAGACGAAACGTCCATCGTTGGACCGAGCAAGTTACGCGGAGAGCAAGTCGTCTACTTCTTGCACAGGGTTGCGGTTACGTTAAAACGACGCCGAGCATTGATTGATTTTGATTGAAAGGATATAGTGGGTAGACCTCAATGCTAGATGCCTTGAGGTCTACCCACTTTTTTTTCGGTCAGCCAATAAAAGCTCGGCGTTCTCACATCATCGTAATCCCTGTGCAAAAAGCCGACAAACATTCACTCCGCATTGATTTTTCATTATAAAAAAATTGATGAAAAAAAAAACAAAAAAAAAAAACGAAACAGGGCAAAGAGAAGCGTTAGTCTCCCATGTAGTTCGTGGTCGAGGTTGGCATGGTGACATTCAGATTAAGAAACGCAGGGCGTGAGTTATTATTCCAATGCCTCTGACTTTGGTATTTGTTATTCGGTGTTCTGATTGGTTACTGCCGCAACCTCACTGGCTTGGAGTGTTAATAAAAGTTGATCAAAAGTCTTTGAATATAACATAGACTGAAAAATCTGTTAGCAAAGCTAACTTTGAGGACGAATGCTTAAGTTAATCACATTAGCAATGGTTGAGTTTGAGGTTTGATCGTCGACCACGACGTAGTTGTTCTAAAGAAGGGGATTATAAGGATCGACTTTATAGCTACACCTTTATTTTGCTAGTACAAGGTGAAACCTCCCCGCCCTCCCCGGAGAGGGGGTATAAAGGACTAGGGATAGGGGTCATTTGCGCATGACACCCTCAGGGAAATATTTTCGTGTTGTCGTTTTTCAGTTTCGATTAAAGCATTACTAGTTAGCGATTACTTCTTGGTGGTGTATTTTTCTTTCCTATATTTTGCGCACTAATTCTAAAGAATATATGGCAGTTTGCGATTTTGATGTGGTCAATTGTGGAATGCCTGTTGGCCCCTTAACATAGAATATATTGCTTGGATCTATACATAATTCCTGAATCCAATACTCTGTAATAAATTTTGGTCCGAAATACTGCAATTGGCTTTCACGCTGCGGAATTCTCGGAGTACGTCGCTCGGTTAAGTCTGCATTATCTGCGAAATTCGTGTTTTTGCTATTAAGGTCCCCAATTATACTAGCAAGATACTGCCGTACGCGCAGCTGGCTAAGTAGGCAGTGCGCGCGTGGCCTAACGGTTGTCGCGCTTGCCTCCCGCGCGAAAAGCCATGGTTCGATTCCTGGGAGAGACGCATCTTTTGTTATTCCTGCAATTTAGTTTTCTGGTAAATTCGAGAACCCTGTTGGGCTTGTTGAGGGTTCGAGTCTTCTGCGCGGCGAACATTCTGCGCCGATTGTTCCGGGGGCTTACGCGTGTGCATGGGGGGCTTCGCGTGGCGCGCCGGGGTCAGTTTCGCCCCAGCGTTTGACTCTGCTCCTTCGCCGACCTTGACGCCCGCGACGCTCTGCTGTTATCTTTTTTTTTTTTTTTAATTTTTGGGCCCAAGTTCGCCCCCATTAAACATTTCAGTGTCTCCAGTTATTCTTTGTTTCCCCGCCTGTTTATTCGTGACATTTTGGTGGAGGTGCCGGGTAATCGCATGCCCCTGCAGCGTACTCCTCCGAGGGTCCGGAGTGCAAGTCCGACCGCAAGCCCCCGACGACCCGACGACGACACTACCAAGACCCGATTGAGTCGCCGCATTCAAGGCCTACACCCGGAATTCGGGCTCTTGCCACCCAGGACCGAGCAGTCAAACAGGACGATGATGAACAACCAGTCGCCGCAGACCTCGACCGCTCCATCCGTCGTCTTCATGCCTGTCGCCCCACGCAATCCGACGCCATTCCATGGTGAGGCCCATGAGGATGTGGAGGATTGGCTACAGCATTACGAACGAGTGGCCCGCCATAACCAATGGACACCAGAGCAGTGCCTTCAGAATGTCTACTTCGCTCTGGAAGGAACGGTGCGCACCTGGTTCGAGAAACACGAAGCGTCGATTTCGTCGGGGGAAGAGTTCCAGGCCGAGCTGCGACGCACCTTTGCCATCCAGCAGCGATGACAGCGTGCCAAAGAACTTCTCCAAGCAAGACACCAAGGGCCAAACGAGAGCGTCGCAAGCTTCGTCGAAGACGTTCTCCACCTCAAGAACCGCGCCGACCCAAACGCTCCCGAAGTGAAAAAGTTGCGGGTACTAATGCGGGGCGTGAAAGAAAACATCTTCGGGGACCTCGTGCGGAGCCCGCCTACCACTGTCCAAGGTTTCATCACTGAGGCCACCAATATCGAACCTACCCTTCACGCACGGGCCTCGCACTACCAAAGACTTCCCGGCTTCACTGCCTTCTCGCCGTCCAGCTGCAGCATCCCGGACATCCACGACATCATCCGGGACGTCGTCCGGGAGCAAATCAAAAAGTTCCTGCCTGCTGCCCACCAGCCTGCTTCGCTGTCAATAGCCGAAGTTGTCCGCGCGAGGAAGTTCAGCGGGCATTCCAGACTGAGGCTCCTGCCAGCGCAGCAGTACCCAAGGAGCCTTCTCTGACCTACGCCGCGGTAGCTCGGAGACCGCCTCCAGCTGCCCTGGAGTATTCGACGCCATCTCGACGTGACCTACCACAGCCGCAGACTTTCAGACGTCGTGAAGGGCAACCCCAGCTCGTCCGCACTGAACAACCGCCGCCTAGAAAAACAGATGTCTGGCGCACGGCCGATCGACGACCGCTGTGTTATCACTGCGGCGAGGCCGATCACGTCTACCGGAGGTGCCCGTACCGTCAAATGGATCTGCGAGGCCTCGCGCCGAGCGACTCGCGACCTCGCCTTGGGGAGCGACCAAGAGACATCGAGAAGTACCTCCGGCGACCCCTGTTCCCGGTGCCGACCCCACCCCGAGGTTCCCGTTCGCTTTCACCTCGACGTGCGCTTTCGCCCTGCCGACGCTCTCGTTGGGACAGCCTGTCCCCCCTATCTCTTCGGGAAAAATGAGTGCGCCAACGCCTGGAGGTGGCGTTGCCGAAGACGACCAAAGGAAAAAGCCTCCAAGAACGCCGGAGCGCTCCCACTCTCTCGACACCGCGCATCGCAACGAACGGTGTCCAACAACCTAAATGTTGTTATCGACGGCTACGACCAGACTACTCAGTCATGAGTGGGAGGCTCTCTCGCCGCCTGCGAAAAGTTACGACGCCCTGGGGAGGACCACAAATTCGAACCGCCGGAGGACACCTTATCCCGCCTGTCGGAAGTTGCACTGCGCTCGTCGAAATTCATGGCGAAACCTTCCCTGTGAAATTCGTCGTTCTACAAGACAGTTCCAGAGATGTCATTCTCGGCATAGACTTTCTGTGCGAATACGGCACTGTCATCGACCTGGGTGAGAACAGATTGACGCTGCGGAAGCCTGTTCCGACTTCAGAAAAACCCCAAACAGCATCGCCCGCCATCCGAGTCGCCGCCGACCACGTGAATCTGTTTCCGCGATCAAGTGTTGTTGTACCCACCGTGGCCGATAAAGCTACCTGCGATGAAGTTGTCTTGGAAGGCAACCTTCAATTGCACCTGGGAAGAGGAATATCATCGCAAGAGGAGTAGTTGAACTTTAGGATGGGCGGACTGTGGTCCTCGTGACGAACTTCCGAAATGAAACTCAACACCTCACGAAAGGTGCAGCCGTGGGCCACGCCGAGGAACTTCAAAACGCCGCCAAAATCGCCGTGATTACTGAAAAAACCTTGCCACCTCAGCAAGGCCACCTCAGCAAGGCGTCGCCAGCGCAGCTCAACATTGACCCTAAGCTTCCGGGCCCGAAACGACGGCAGCTGCTTAACCTCCTCGCCGAATACTGCGACTGCTTTGCGGCGTCGTCGAAGGTACGCCAAACCGACATTGCGAAGCACCGCAACGTTACTGAGGATGACTCACGCCCTGTGCATCGATCGGCGTACCCAGTCTGCGTTAAAGAAAGGGAGGTAATCGAGGAGCAAGTTCAAGAGATGCTGAGAGACAACATAGTTCAACCTTCAAATAGTCCGTGGGCCTCTCCAGTCGTGCTGGTTAAAAAGAAGGATGGAACGCTTAGGTTCTGCGTGGACTACCGGCAGCTGAACGCGGTGACGAAGAAAGACGTCTACCACTCCCCCGCATCGACGACACTCTAAACCCGCTGCGCCACTCTCGATATTTCTCATCGATGGACCTGAAGAGCGGCTACTGGCAGATCGAAGTCGACGAACGGGACCGAGAAAAGACAGCCTTCGTCACGCCAGATGGACTGTACGAGTTCAAAGTGATGCCCTTCGGATTGTGCACTGCGCCAGCAACTTTCCAGCGTGTCATGGACACCGTACTGGCAGTACTGAAGTGGCAGAGCTGTCTCGACTACCTCGACGACGTCGTCGTGTTTTCCAGCGACTTCGACGAGC